AGGCAGAGAGAAATGAGGTTTACGTCATTCAGATGAGACACTGTCCACAAAATTACTTGTAAGGAAAGCACACTATTGAGTAACTTTACTGAGAGTAGCACAATGCCCAGCTTCAGAACCAAAAACCCAAACAAGGGTCCAAATAGATACCTACCTAGAAGGAAATCAACCTGGAAATGAACAAATGTGAAGATAACTGAATTCAAAAGACACCAGGATACCTGAGAGCCCTCCCCTGTGACCAGGAAGAGCCTTCTGGCTACTACAGTCACTAAAAAGTGACCCACACCTGATGGCCAAGATCTGTAATACTAGCTACTTAGGAGACTGATTCGGGAGGATAGCAGGCCTGCCTAGGCCACAGTAAGTTCAAAACCAGCCCAGGCAAAGTAGTAAGATACTATCTCAAAATAAAGAATAAAAATAGGGCTGGGATATAGCTCAATGGTAGAATGCTTCCCTAGCATGATCAAGGGTTTAATCTCCAGTACTGGAAAAAACAAAACAACAACAAACAAACAAACAAACAAACACACACACACACACACACACACACACACAACTCTCACAGACTACACAGGTAGCTCAGTGGTAGGACAATTACCAAGCACACATGAGGCCTTAGATTCATTCCCCAGAGTGTATGCTTTTATATACACACTAATGCAGACATACATGTATACCACACTTGTTCACACTGCTGCACTCACTAAGCTACTCCAAATTGATGACTACGGTCAGAAGCAGTTACCAGGCCACAAAAATCACACACCAACATTTCACTGCCATAAAGACTTTTGCTGAAGGTATAAGTAAAAATTAAGATACACCTCACCTTATACTGCAGCCAAATTCCTGGAAGATTACATAAAAATACAATTTTTTACGATTAAATTGTTTGCAACCACTAGAAAGGCTGACCCAAAGCATGCCTCGGTCTGTTTGGTAGAACCTCCATGTCACACGTACCAGCCTCGCTGAAAGTGGGATGATGTGCTAACATCTGTACATGTGACACACTTAGCTTTCCACTAATACAATAACTATCTCCAGGCTCCATTTTTTAATAGCCACATTTCTCAACCATGCTTCAATTTTCACACCAACTCCATCTCTTTCCTCCAACTCTGCAGTCCAGGTTTCTCTACTTCTCTACTCTTCCCCAGGCTGAGTAGACTCTTCTCCCCTCATGAGGCTTCATGCACTGTTCTCGAAAGCACTAAGTCTTCCTCTCTCCCTCAGGTTCCTTCTGAGCCTAGGGCTTACAACACAAGCCCAGACTCTGGAGCCCCAGAACTCCACTTTGGAAGTAATGATGTCCAAAAGCTGGTGGTCTAACCTAACAAGACTCAGCCTTGAAACTTAGTTGTAGTTCCATTTAGTAAGTAGAATTAACTCAGTCAACTACTGAATTCGGAGGGGGAGGGGGAGAGTTCATTCTTTGCACTCTAGGGCACTGAGTAATTTTGTGATGGTTCCTTCACTCAGGAATCTCACGATTAATCCCTAGGTTATTTGTAAGTGATAAATCTCAACTTCAATTTAACAGACATTGAACATTTACTATAAACCCAGGTATTATGAAGAATAAATAAAGGAAATACAGTTTCTACCTTGTAGAAGCTTACAGTCTAAAGAAGCAGGCACAATAAAGCCTCTAATGACAATAAAAGATGAAGCATAAATATGCATAAATATACCAGCAGGCAAAAACAAAGTCTAATAGTGCCAATTATGCTGTCGGGAAATCTTCAAGGACCCAGCTATGATTTCAGAAAAAACTCTGTCTTCAGATGAGAAAAATACATATATGCTCTAAGACAAACCCATACACTAAAAAGCCTATATAAAGAGATAAGATATCTATGTAGCACCTCCAGGCCCGTCTAACGCTGACGTTATCTCCTGAGAAAGCCCATGCCTGCTCATTCTGTCCCAGCTACAGTGGCCTCCTATGCAGCGCACCAAGCTGCTTCTCTCCCAATGTCTCAGCCCTCTGGGTTCCTCTTCCCTAAACCACTGAATGGCCTGAATCCTCTTCCCTAAAACCTCTGAATGACCCACATCTGCACTTCAAAGGTCACCTACAGAGAGACCTTCCTGCACCACTCTCAAGTTGTCTCTTTCTCTACTTAATTTTCCCACAAGCTAAGAAAAACTACTGATTTGTCTCTTTCCATGGGCTATTAGTTCAATAAAGGTAGGGTTTCTTTATTTATCCTCTAGGGTTAAAACAGTGCTAAACACACAGGAGGCAAAGGCAGGAAGATCTCTGAATTCAGAGCTAGCCTGGTGTACATAGCAAGCTCAAAAAAACAACAAAAAAAAAAAAAAAAAAAAAAAAAAACAGTGCCTAAGAGTGTCACAGCTGCTTGATAAACATTAGTTAAATAAGCTTACACACCCACAGTTTTTTTTTGTTTAACTTTTCATTCATTTGTCTCCCTGCCCAGGTCACATGCAGTTAGGAAAGGGAACTTAGCTTATGTTTTTCAAGAAGACAACCTAGAAATCACTTTATACAAACACTTTTCTAAATAAGAAACAGAGGTCCCAAAACATAGGTTTTCCCTGGGGTTAATACAGAGCTAGTTAAAAACAGAGGGAGAGCGAAGTCAATGACTATGTTAATACCTGTGTGACAGGGTGTGAGAGAACTACTGTGATGAGCTGGGCATGGTGGTACATGCCTGTAATCTCAGAAATCTACTAGGAAGGTAGAAGCAGGAAGGTCAGGAGTCCAGGAGTTCAAGGTCATCCTCAGCTACCAACCACACTGAGTTCAAGACCAACTTAGGCTACAAATAGGAATCCGTTTCAAAAACAAAAACAAAACCTACAATCGTAAGAATGTACAAAGAGGGAAAAGTAAAGAATATTCATAAATATACAGAGTAAAATAATTCTCTGTGGGATAGTTCTAAGTTGTCCAATTGCACCCAAAGGACCTAATTCACTCCTTCCTCTGAACATCCCCAAGTCCCTATGCACCACTCCATTTCCAAGTATCACTATCCTTAGCCAATGTGAAAGCAGCCAGCAAACAATAGGCAAAAGAATGAGAGAGCAAAGAGAACTATTAACTAAGACCAACATAGAGACGGGGGAAAAGTGACTACACGTGTACTCAGATGTGTGCACACACCAAGTGAACAAGCCCATCAACAGCTGTATCCGGTGATCCCTCTTTATCATCCAGTGCCAACCCACCTCACTTTGTCTCCCCATTCTTCTGCGGCTCCGAGATTGACTTCACAACCCCTCTGCCTCACAGACTTCTTCTAAGGGAAGTAAAAGCCAGCATACAAAAGAATTCAAAAATAAACAGCCAAGGGAGTCCCTTTTTACCAAACCAATGGAGCTAACAGGGTGGATTCTGCAAAGGAGACAAGAGGCACACAGCAAACATGCCAGGCAAAGTACAGCTCCTTTCCCTACCACAGGAAGTCAGGCAGAGCACAGGAAGTCTTTCAGCACTGCAGAGATTTCCAAGAGTGGTGTAATGGAGAGAGCACAGGAATAGGAATTAGAAGCAGCGAACTGGGTGGCTTTAGTCAAATCACTAGTCTTCTCAGGACTTCTAACTCCCTATCTATAAAAATGAGGTTGTTCAAACATGTTGGAACTTGAGCACACCCTTTCCCACCACGCACACAAAAAAAGATGCAAAGTATTGACCCTTCACTGAAAGTGCACATATAAGCCATTCTGCTTAGCTCTGCCAAGTGTTTAAGACTGAGAACCCGCAGCGGGAAAGTAGGTGGGTATCTCTGGCCCCTTCCATCTCTAACATTCTATGATTCTAAAAGAATTAAACAGCATCCCACTGCTGCTGAATGAGCCTCTCCATTTCATAACCAATTATTTTCTAAACAGAGACCAAATCCTAAAGCCCTTCCTCAAACTAAGTAATAACCGACAGCATCAATACCTTGGCCACCCCCTCCCTTCATCAGTCAGCTTACCCTTGAGGCCACAACTCAAGAAACCAGCCTCCTAACAACCCTATAAATTTTCTCCGCTACCCCAGGACACTCGTCCTACGAAGGTAGAATGCAACGGGTAAAGCACAGGAGGGACATGCCTGATCCCTCTCTCCAGACTTAGTAGCATGCTGCACAAAATTAATGAGACTGAGCATCACGGTGCCTCCACACCTCCAAACTCCGCGGACTTCTCAGGACTCCCCGTGTAACTGATTGAACCCACAAGCTCAGCCACATCCGCTTTCGGGTCTCTCCAGGAGTTGGCTAGCTTTTCAGTCTGTCCTCCACATGCCGCTCCCCTTTCCCCATCCCACTGTGCCCAGGGTAAACCAAAAGGAGTCTCCTTCTTCTCGGGAGCTTTCCCATTAGCTTCCCTCGCTCTCGACTCGGCCCAACAGCTCTCCTCAGGACCAACAGATCCGGGATGCCCCAACTTCCCAAGAAACTGGGGACGGGCTGAAGAATCAGACTGCATCCCGATCCTGCTCAATCCCCCAACTCCAGAAGGAAAACCCCACTCCCTCGCGCTGCCTCCGGGGCCCCCTTAGGAGCACAG